TGCTATTTAGGATTAGCTGATAGAAACATTTCCTTATCTACTCTTGAACAAATATAGTAAAAACAAACAATGTTGCAATGTTTATTTCATTCTATAAGAATGTGCATGCTGCAGTAGGAATATCTGAATTCAAAATGAGGATTCGGCCTTAAAAGGGACACATTTCCCAATCTCACATTTTTCAGAACTTTCATGGGAAATTCTGAAAAGACTAATTTTAATTTTTAGCCACAAAAAAAATGAAATTAAAAAAAGAAGAAAAAACGAAAGATGATATGAACTCAGGCTTCAATAATCTGACCAGCTCTGCTCACATGAGACATCATGAACCACTTTTGCCATCTCTCTGGACACTTCTACTGTCAAATCCCTTTCACTGCATCAGTACAGACATCAGTACATCAGATGCTGCTTGCAGGCTCTGTTGCTCCAGAGTTTCTCTGCTATCTGTTCCTCGTCTAAGTGCATGACCCATATCTGTTTTGCAAAGGTTTGGAGAATAATTCAAATTGGAAGGAGCCTCTGGAAAACCCAGTCCAGCTGCCTGATAAAAGCAGGGCCAACTTCACTGTCAGAATTTGTTGTTCAGGGCTTTACCCTGAGGAGTCTTGAAAGCCAACAAGTATTTTCCATAGTTCAGCCTCTCTCACTATTAGGGATTTTTTTTTCTTGTGTTTAATGGGCTCTTCTGCAACTTGCAGCTTTTCCTTCAACTGAATCCTCCTGGGAGGAGATGGTGCTGTCTTCCTTGCAACTGCCCATCCAGTCTCCTTCTCTGGAAATATTCTAGGTGAACCTGCTCTAGCAAGGCTCTTGGACAAGATGATCTGCAGAGGTTGCTTTCAGCCTGAACCATTCTGTGATTCTGTGATTTTTATTCCAAAATCCCGGAATTCAAGCTATTCTTCCTCTTCTTCTGCTTGCCTCATGCCACACCTGTTACCCTGTTGTCTGTTCCTGACTTTCTTCTCTTTGTTGGGTTTTCTTCCTGAAAATGGAGTCCTCTCCTTCTCTGGTCTCATCTCCAACACCCTGGACTCCCTTCTCCCCTCCATTTTCTGGAGAGTTAGGAACAGCAGAGAGGAATCTCCTCTGTAGTCACTTCCCAGAATGTTTCTTCACAAAGTACACTGCTTACGAACTGGAAAATCATAGAATTACAGGATGCTTTGGGCTGGAATAGATTTTAAAGATCATCTAGTTCCAATCCCCCTGACAGAGGCAGGGATGCCACCCACCAGGATCAGATTGCTCAAAGTCCTGTCCAATCTGGCTTTCATGGATGGGCCATCTACAGCTTCTTGGCAACTTGTGCTTCACCCCCCCTCACTGTAAAGAATTTCTTCCTCATGCCTAATCCAAATCTCCTCTCTTTTAGTTTAATATGATTCCTCCATGTCCTGTTTAAAAAGCCCGTTTAAAAAGACGCTGTCCTTTTTTTTGTTTCTAAGTACTGAAAGGCTGCAATAAAGTGTCCCATGTGTCTCCCAAACGTGTCTTTGATGCTCTGACTGTTAGCCATGGACAGGAGGAGGAAATCTTTGGAGCTAGCTTGGCTCTGCAATGCAGCAGAACTGCCATGAACAATAGCTTGGGAGAAAAGTGACTCTCCCAGTGTTGCAAGACTGTTCCCTCATTTTTGCCAAAATTTTCATTAGTATCATGTTGCATCAGCCTCCAAATGTCTTTCCTTGTGAAAGAGTGTTGCACAGTCTGACAGACCCTCCTCAGAAAAGTCTTCTCTTTTTCCTTCCATTTCAGCTTCATCCCATTTCCCTGATTACTTTACACTTCTGTTTCCACCCTGTATGAACTGATGAACTCCTCTGTTTTCATTCTTCACACACTTGTTGTCTAACCAAGGTACCTGTGTCCCCTCAGGCTCTGCACAGCTCATCTCTGACCACCTCTTTGCAAAGTTATCCTGGCCCTCTCTCTTTGATGCTCTTCAGTTTCCAGTTGTGCTTCTCCATTCCCCTTCATGAAGACATGAATTGTACTAAAACTCTGTTCTCTATCCATTTCCCTTCCCCCTTTCACTTCTTCTATCATCCTTCATTTCTGTTCCATTATCTGTCTCCTAGGCTCTCTTCTCACCTTTCCTCTACAAGAGACTGGGTGAGGCTTCACTGATCTTCTCTAAACTCTTGGGGAGAGGTGGGTAAATACCTACCACTGCCTGTTCCTCTAAAGCATCCCATCACTCACTCTGAGGATTTTGATGGCTCCAAACTCCTCTCATTCCTCATTTCTCATTTCTCTTTTTTCTTAGTAAATCTATTTGGACTCTCACCAATCCAGGACCCATGGGACCAAAATCTGTTCTGGCTGCATAGCTGCAAAATTGGCAGGAAGCTGAAGACATTACATTTAATTTTTGTTCATTTCTTATGTCTCTTTTTCCTTTTTTCACTCAAATTTACCCACAGGAACTGAGGATGGGAGTGATAGTGGGGGTATAGTTAACTTAGGTTGATATGGTCCTTCTGAGGGCAGCCTACAGGGCAGAGGAGGTGTAGACATTGCTGTTTTTCAGCTGTTAAGGTGCTCCAAACAACTCTGGCAGAGCAGAAACTATCATTAGAAAGCTCTAATGAAATAACTATATACATACATCTGGACAACCTCTTTTTTTTTTTTTTTTCTGGGGCTTGTATAAGACATACCACAGAGCCTTGGTTTTGAAAGAAAATGGACCCAGTTTTCTGGAAAGTGTGACTTGTTTCAGGGTTGGCAAGACACAGGCTGCAAATTTAGGCATCTGAAATGAATCAGTGATCACTTTGAAAATCTTGATCAAAATGTTTCACATGGACAGGCATGAAATAGAAATCCACAAACAGCAGCAGCACAGGCTGTTTGTTATTACAGATCATCATTTAGCACAGGCTGTTCTAATCTAGGTCAAGCAAAGCTAATCCTGGAATCATCTATTTCTTAAAGTAGCCTTGTGTGTCTGTGCCTTTGTACATGTGTGCACAAACAGAATAGGTAATTTTTAATGGAAAATAATTTGGCTAGAGGCTACCTTGCCTAGTTTTCTTTCTCAGGGAGATGCAGGGGATCCAAGTTGTGTCAGTTTTTTCCTCCCCAGGAAAGTAGGAGGATACTGAATGACATGGGGGTTAGATAGAATAGGAAAGCACATGCTTTGAGCTCCCAAAATATCAGAAGTCACTTGCTGTGTTAGATACTTACCTACTGAGGTTACTTTTGGGCTGAGTAGAGTCCCTGCAGGAAAGTCTGTAGCTAGAGGCCCTGGTACTCTGGTACTCTGTTAGGGTACAGAGTACTTTGCAAGTAAAAAAGTGTACTTTGGAGAAAAAAACCCAATGCTTCTGGAAACTGAGACTTGTTTTCCATGGATGGCTAACATGAGTCATGACTTGCTAAGCATTTAAAGTCTCTCTCTGATTCTAGTTTTTCTAGCATTCCTAATGTTTCCAGTAGTTATACCTATCTGATACCAGGCACATTTAGATGTCATGCAGAAACACTTCACTGAGAGGGTGATGAAACGCTGGAACAGGTTGCCCCATTCCTGTAAGTGTTCAAGACCAGGTTCAAGTCTGTTGCAAGAACTTTATGAAAAAGCAGTAATTGAGGGTGTAAATTCTTGCTTGCAAAATTCCAAATAAATTCAAAACAGCAGTAAATGAGGATGTAAATTCTTGCTTGAAAAATTCCAAACAAATTCAAAACAGCCTGTACCATGCCTACTGTCCTGGTGTCAGCTGGGACAGGGTTAATTTTCTTCTTTATTAAACCATACCACCAAACTATTAGGAAAATGGAGCTGACTGGTGGGAAGATGTGTAATGTGTGAATAATGTCTACGTTTGATGCAAGGTCATCATTTGGCATTTGGGCTTCTTGAAGACACAGTAACAATCAGGAGAGGCAAGAGCCGGGGCTGTCAGCTACACGCCCCCTATTTTGATGCATAATATCATGCAGGGCTCACATTTCTCCCTGGTTTTCCTCTCTGTTATTTTATTCATGGCTTTTTCCCCCTCTTGCTCCTCACCCCATCCAGAATAATAGAATTGGCAGGAGCAGGGTCAGGTCACTTCTTGGTTGATTATACTGCTAACAGAAAAATCCAAACAAGCCACGCTGCATTTTATTCCTGAGGCTTATTCTTGAGAAAACTGTTTTTGCTCCTGGAGAAGTCAATGGAAATCTAATTAATCCCAGATGTTTAGTAATAACAAGCACTTCCTTTTGGGAGAGCTGAACAAAAGCAGTGTGAAAACTATTAATTAGTCGGGTTTGACTCTGTCATCAGGTTTAATTCCAGCCATACTAGTCAAGTTAATACTGGCTCTGAGAAGGAGATTGTCCTGCTTGACACAACAGCCATAAACTCGGTGTGTGGCAGATTAAACAGTGTCTGGGCACACAGCTCAGCTTGCCTTCACACCAAGGGAAAAGCACAGCAGCTTCAACATCGGACTTCCAGCTAGCTCCTGGGATTGCTGCTTGTGAAATCTACTAGACTAGAGACTAAGGACTAGACTTTATTTCTCTACTTGAATAAAGCCTTGAGACAATGATGGGCTCAAGCATGGACTTTTGTAGATATTAGATCAGGCCCCATTGCTGCTGAGGGTTTGTGCAAATTTGTAGAACCACGGAATCACAGAATGGTTTGGGTTGAAAAGCACTTGAAAGGCCATCTAGTGCCAGCCCCATTGCTGTGGTCAGGGATACCTTCCACTAGACCAGGGTGATCAAAGCACCACCCAACCTGGCCTTGGACACTTTCAGGGATGGGTTATCCACCGTTCTCTCAAAAACCTATTCTGAATTTTCTGCCTACATCTTCTGTAGGTCTTCCTCGTCTCCATTGGCTGTGCTCTAAGATGTGGAAGAGCTTCAGGACTAGAAGGTAAAGGTCAAAGGTGGAATCTGAACACCATAGGAAAAAATAGGAAGGCTTTTCTTTTCATCTGTGGAGCATTTCAAACTGGTGATTTAATATATTCACAACACTGTGCTTTTTACAAAATTCAAATATGTTTTTATTATACAAAATTCCACAGTGAAATCCACCAGCCCGTTTCTTACATAGCTGCTTTAAAAATAGAATTATACACCTTTTTGTAGTGTGTTAATTTTTATATTCACTAGCTTGAAGAAACAGAAGTGAAGCAGCAATTTGACTCTGAGTTATTTACCTGGACAGGTTTTGCTTTGACCTCTATTTCTGTTATATACCTTAATGTACAGTTCGTGGCATTAACAGAAGACCTGATGTAGTTACTTTTGAAGACATTGCACCCCATTAGCAGGTCAAGCTCCCACTGTTGGTGAGCTTTTCTTCACTTCAAAAGGGTGAATTTTCTGTCAGGGTACAGAACAAAATACAAAATAAAGTCTGTGTTGACTTTTAGCAATGTAGCATGTAAGCTGTGTCAAACCCATCACAGAATGAGGATCTACATAACTTTTCTTACAGCCCATCCTCTAGACTTTTTAGGGTGATACAGTGAACATCTGATCTGAATAATGGCACAGGACTAGGTTCCCTGTCTATCATTTCACAATGGTATGTTTTTGCAGTCTAACCTTCCATGACCTTTAAAAAATAAATATATTATTATTCTATATTGAAATGCAACTGTATGTTGTGAATTTCCCACAGTTTTCCTTAAAAATGTAAGCATTTCAGTCCAATTCTAGCTGGTTGAAATTCATTCTCCAAGATTTTTCTTTTGCAAAGTATTCACCCCAGAGATTAATTTCTTCACATTATGCCCAGTTAAATATGTATTGCACATGAGAGACAAATTTCTTCTCTTTTAGTTAAACTGTGAACCTGTGGCCTTCTGAGCAGATCTGGGTAACGTATCAGCAGTTGCTTCATGCTTGAGATTCCTTTTACATCCCTTGTGGATACTAAGTGCCAGAACTAATTGACCTCATCTACCTCTCATGTCTTGCCCCTATGACTGGAGCAATATCCTAACAAAAAAAGTGAGACATCCAAAGAGGTTCCTACCACACGGTCTTTGGTTTCCATTGTGAGCTGTCTAAATGGTAGGCAGGAGCACAATGGACACTACTTATAATTTCCATTTGGGTTTGGTTTGGTTTTAGCTAAATTCTCATTGTTTTGGAACTTGAGGGGAATTTGCAACCAACTTCACTGAGTGAAGATGGTGTTTTGACCCCTCTGGCCCATCATTGTATGATTTCAGTTTAAGAAGGGTTAGGAGCTAACCAGCTAGGTAAAAGCAAAGCTCACACCAAACTGAAACATCTTGTGGAGGCACGTAACTTTGAGAAGGGATTTCCTAATTGGCTGATGGCATCATCTGAGCTTAGTGAAAAGTCTCAGATCTCAAGACCTTACAGGCCTTTTTTCTTTTGAGCTGGTTTAAATTACACATCCCTCAAAGCAATAGCAGAACTTTACAGAGGCCTCTTCTAACACTGTGTAATCTTTTAAGCAGATCTGCATGTGAATGAAGCAAATGCAAAACAGAGCAAATCCTCCTTCCTGCAACCCAGAACAGTACAGTGGGGCAGTTCAGGGACACTTCAAAACCATCATAAAATCCACAGTTAAAACTCAAAGATGAAAATTATATCCTTCATTTCCACAGTGTCAGGGTAGCACCTGATTTCTTCAGTTTTCAGGGTGTTTTGTGTTCCTATGCTTTAAACTGGTGGCTAAAGTTTTGCCTTCGGAAGCAAAAAAATGAACCCACACCAATGATGATGACAGATAAAACTAGTACAGATGTTAATATAATGAGGATGTTGATTTTCTTCAGATCATCTTTTTCACAGTCTTCTGGTCTAATGTCCTCGATGTGCATTTCTTCCCAATACCCGAAGCTCCGAATGTACTGGCACGTTAAGTGCTCCACGTTGGGGATCTGGACATTTTTGTTCTGGATCATTGATGAAAGCCAGATGTTTCCACAGCAGTTGAGTGGGTTCCCAGAGAGATACAAGTTTTTAAGTGAATTTTCTAATGCTAAAATGTTGCTGTCCTCTAATGTACTGAACCTATTGTTCCGTAGGTCCAGAACTTCCAGTGAAGAGTCACTACCCCACTTAGGCAGCCAGTTCAGCTGATTTTCAGAGAGGTTTAAATGTTTAAGGTGACTAAAACAAGGCAAGTCAATATTTAAATCTATCAGACTATTGCCATGTAAATGCAAGTATTCCAGAGACTTTTCCAGTCCTGCTAGTGCTTTAAGTTCTATTTTCAGTCCAGGGTTCATGGAGAGGTCCAAGACAAGCAGTCGAGTCTTGTGGAAGGTGTGTGCTGGTAGGATGCTCAGCATGTTGTCAGCTAGGTACAGGTGCTGGAGAGCAGGAGAACTGACAAACGACACACAACCACTGTCCTCTCCAGCAAGTCTTTGCTCAGCTAATCCTGAGTACATGTGGCAAAGGCTGATGTTATTGCTCTGTAGGTTAAGAAGTCTGAGGCTAGGAAGACTGGAAAAGATGTCAAACTGCAGGGTCTGAAGGTTGTTGTTTTGAACATGAAACTCCCTCAAATTTGGCAAAGCACCAGCATCGAGGAGAATGTTCTGCAAAGCATTGTAGCTCAAGTCAAGGACAGTTAGGGAGAGCAATGCACTATCATAACCTACTGTAAATGCCTGAAGACAGTTTCTGCTGAGATTAAGGGTGTGAAGGGACATCATTGACTTAAAGAACCCATCTGGAATGGATTTTATTTTATTATAACTTAAGTCTAAATATACAAGTTGGGATAAATAAAGAGAACTTGTATTTTTACTTCGCTTCTGATCAAGAAGATGAAAAGAAGCATCTAACCATTCATTATCCATGTAGTCCATTTTATTATAAGGGGATTCAGCAGTGAGCTTGATTAAATTATTTGATAAATTCAGAGTTACCAGTTTATTTACCTGAGGGAAGACTGGGAAGTGAAGCAATTTGTTTTCACTAAGGTCCAGACATCTTAAATTATATTCATCATTTGACTTTGTGATGCTGAAGGTCTCAATGCTATTCCTGCTAAGGTCAAGAACCTCCAACTGCCTGAGGTTGAAATCAGAGATGCAAGTAATTGAATTTGTGGAGAGATTGAGTTTGGAAAGGTTCGCTAGAGTCTCGAAAGCACCTTCTTCTATTTCCATGATGATATTTCTCTGAAGATCTATCTCCACAAGACTGGGAGATCCCTGAAACATCTTGTGTGATATCCTTACAATACTGTTATCTGCCAAGGAAAGATACTGCAGTGCTGGAGCTTGATTAATGAAATATTCAGCCATCCCACTGTAGAGATTGTTGTGGGACAAGTCCATTATTTCCACCTTGGGCAAAAGTCCAATCCCCTCTGTCCCATTCTGAGCAAGCTTATGTAAATGATTATTGGCTAAATTTATTTCCAGCAAACTCGTCATGTGTGCAAACACTCCAGACGTGATGAAGCTTATCTGGTTGAAGCTTAAATCCAGATACTGGAGGGAAGTGTAGAATGATAATGGTATTTCAGGGATGCTTTGAATCAGGTTTCCAGACAGATCTATTTTGTTTACATTCAGATGGAGCTCGTGAGGGATTTGGTGGAGGTCTTTGTTGTGGCAAAATGCCTGTGAATTTGCCTGCCAGAAAAGGAGAGAAAAAGGGTTGTCATGTAACAAATTTAAAACATTTTTGCATTATATAAATACGGAAAATAACATTCAAGATCCAGGCAGAACCTCCTCCTGAAACACTGATCTCACCACTTTATCTGAGCAGTCAGACAGCAAGAGCAACAATTCTAACACCTTTCTGCAGCTAACAATGCTCTTTTCATTTTTGAGACATCACTGACTTACAATATTAGAGTTTTATCTGTGTTTGAAACCTACTGAATGCTCTCCTTTTTGTACCTTTCTCCTGGACTTTTAAAAGTTCCAAGTGAAGGAACTTTGCCCCTTTTCCATTGCAATCAAGCACCATTTCTTAATTTTTTCTTCTGATGCTTAATTTTTTCACTTTCATCTCTGTATTAGATTTTTTGAACTCAGCTTGCAAGAGTAAGCTGTACTTGAAAAAGCTTCCTGCTTTTGAGAGTGTGGGTCCCAAAGCAAGGAGGTGGAAAAGCATATAGGGACCCTACATCACAAAACCTGTCTTCCTTCATAGTCACGCCCTCAGATATTCAACCATGTTTTCCTTTATCCATGGCTTAGTTTAGTAATGCACCTTTATCCAAAATGGGTCATTCAATGACTGGAATATTTCTGATGCAAGTCTCGAAACTCTTCCAGCTTTTAGTATCCATGTTTATCCTTTTGCTAAGGTAACAGTTCCCTTCTTCTTGCATGGGAGAACGCCTTGTGAAAGTGTTCTGACAACACTCACGTGACACAACATGGAAAAGACAAATTCTGTAAAGCCAGCACTTGAGAGAGAAAAAAGCTGTGAGGTGCAGTGAGGGTCATACTTTTCCAGGCCAATTCTCAGCAGCAGATAGAGGGAAAAAAAACCAAATGTCAAAATCGACTCCATCTTCCAGAAACAAGTCTGTTTAATAGCAGCTAGGATTGAGTTTGTGTCCAGGCCAAATTTGGAGTGTGTGTTCATAAGGAAGATTGGGAACACGAAGATGAGCATCCTTGCATAAATATCAAGGTATATTTTGTTAATAATGAGAGCATACAGAAGTGTGAGGAAGTGAAAGGCTTAGGTGGCATTTAATTTACTGGAGAAAAACTCTTGTCATTAATGTGTTTGGATGTCTGGGCCATACAGTATTTATAGAAAGAACAGAAAGGAAAGAAATAAAGAAAAAATATGTTTAATCTTAATTTTTGTGGAGAAGCAGGATCCAGATTACATCACACAAAGCTTTTCAGATATTAAAGAAAGATTAAAAGTGAAAACAATTAAAACCTATCCGTTTCATGTGAACTTTGAGGTGAATGAAGTGGTATGTCTGCTTTTGGAGAAGTGTGGCACTAGTCAGTCTTTTGTGAATCTCTTTAGCATAATCTAAATTTCGGAGGCAACACAAAAATGTGTCAGAGAAGTACGAGTGTTCATCTGAACTCTCGATATAGTCAGACTGCTCCACAATCCTTCCTATAATACATCTTTCCCAAAGATCCCAAGTAAATTGACTACAAAAACCTGAAACACGTTTTAACCCTCTCCAATTCACTTAAATCTCCCCCAGCTAAAAATATTAGGGAGAAAAAAAGGAAATTTTCTGGCCTTTACTTGACATTATTTCTTTCCTGCAAAGCCATTGTAGAATTGCTCATTTTGATCTAAAATATGACTGGATTTGGGATTAGCTCCAAGGCATGAGAGCAAAGCTTTTTTTATTTGGTTTGTGGAAGAAGCAGAAGCCAGAAGGATAAAAAAATCCAGAGTGGAAAAGCAGCAGGTCCTTTGCAGCCTAAGGCAGATGCCAGGTTTCTCCAGACATTTTGAGCCAAATCTGAACAAGTGTAGAGCTCCCTTCACTCCTTCTGGGATAAAGTATCTTAGCAAAGTTCTGATTCAAGTCCCATCAATGCCAGCCAGCTGGTGTTCACTGAAGTCAATGCTTGAGAGGTCAGTCCCAGATCACCATGTATCGTGCTGGATTTGGCCTCTAATCTGCATCCATGGAACTGTCCCAGGGGTAAAAGGGACAGATAAAATCTACACTTCCCACTGCCTGCCCTTTGCTCCTATAATAGCTCCCTCTCATATTTCTTTTAAAACTATCATTCTTTTTGCTATTTTGATCCTCACCATATTTCTTATCTTCTGCACCTCCTTTACTCCCCTGAGGCTCAAACTGCATGAATTTAATCCTCATCAGGAACAGGAAGAAAAGATAAAGCACACCTCAGTGGGATGGAGCATCTCTTTGGTGTATCTTCCCTCCTCCCACCTCTTAGCTCAATGGGTTCTGACTTCATCTTTTTTGCCAGTGTTTCCATCAGTTTATTTCAAGTCCATTGTCAAGAAGTACTGCAGGGTGAGGAACTTTTGCCCCTTATGGTCCCCCTTTTGTGCTGGGCAAAAAAAAGATCCAGTATCTCAAAAGCTAAGCACCATTTGGATTCCTGTTTCAGTTCTTCACTGCTCAGCACCAGGAGGAAGCTGTCATCCCTGTTCCTAAGGGCCCTACAAAAAAAGCAGCTGGATCCAAGCCTCCACTCGTGTTCTCCTTTGTCAACTCATGAACATCTGAACAAAAGAGTTTGGGCTGCAGGCACTTGGCACTGACCTGCACTTGTGTGGTGTCCGTGGCCATTCCCAGAAGAGCTGCCCAGGTGGAGTCTCAGATCAAACCTCAGCAGTTTGTCCAGGTACCCCACATCAGCTGACCTATGCTAACTGGTCGTGCACATGTTCTTGCACCACTCAATCCAAGGTAAAACAGAATTTCCTAAAATCCCTTCCCTTCTGTAAATTATTTCAAAGCTTATCCTTTGCCAGCAAACATGAATTAGCAGAAGCATCTTACTTTGGGAGGTAGAACATGTCCTCCTTGAAGCCTTGCCCGGCCTTGGAAGGCAGCATAAGTTAGGAAGAAGCTCCTGGCATTTAAGCTGTGCCTCGTTTTGCAAACAAGTAGATATGCCATAACTTGTGTAATCAGTGCAGCTCACACCTGTGTCAAGAGTCTGGTAGGGATTGCTGACTTCCTAAAGCCTCTTCTAGGGTTCTTGTTCAATGACAGGAGTACTAGTGGTGAGTCAGAGACAGGCACAAGTTTCTGACTCATGCCTTTTCCAGGAGACTTGGGATGAAATATTAAATTCTGAGCTCTTGCTGTTCTAAAGGTGTCGCCACAGGGAAAGTGCCTTGTGAAACAGTGAGGCTGTGATGAAAAATTCAGGACTTCAGTGAACCCAGCAGCTAATCCAGTAGCTCTTTCCTTCTTTAAATGGTGTTTGGATTTACATGCATCTTCTGTTGGAGCAAACATCCAGCAAAGGAATATGATCAGCATTGACATCTGCAATGCTGAGCTGTTCATTTATTTGAGATGAACATCCCAGCCTTTGACTGTAGCTTTCTGTCGGAGCTAAATTTATCTAAGTTAACTGCTTAGCCTTGGATTGTTGGCTTGATGAAACCAGTTTATGGTGGAGTGCTGGAAACAAGCACATGTTTACTTCACAGCAGTCAGCTGGGTCTGTGACCCTTCCAAAAACTGGAATGGGACAAATCTGCTTGGGTTATTGTGTGTCTTCACACAGCCCAGCCTTCACTTTTCTGGGATACATGGGACCCAAGCTTCATCAGACTTCCCTCTCCAGCCAATGAACTGAGCTACTCAGTCAAGCAGATTCCCAAGATTGCTCTATATAAACTAGGTTTTAGTTTCTTTGGAATTCAGGAAGTGCAGCAACACAGCAGGTGGGCAGGAATGCAATGAGTCCCATAAGGGAGTTGTGTACAGCTAGTAAATAGGGGTTTTTTCCCCTATTTTGGAAATTCTTGAAGTTTTGTGCTAAGCAGCTTCAATATTCAGGGAAAAAAAAAGGTATTTTTAAAAGCCTGTTACAGTCAGAAATACTTTGATAGGAAAGGTAGAAAGTTCAGGTCTGAATAACATTTTTAATATTGTACCAGGTGCTTGCAAAAATCCAAGGAGAAAATTTTGTACTGCAGCAAGAGGCTTTGTCACTTCTTTTTCTCCAGCAGAAGTCAGGTGCAACTTTCCTGGCAGCAATGCTGTGTCAGGGCAGAGGAGGTCACTCTCCCTGCTATTACAAAAGGGCTGGTATAGAGGTATTTCACAGAAGATTCTTTATTTAAAGCACAAAGGACTTAGGCCTGATAGAAAGGAGTTGGTTTTAGGTCTAAGTCTTTTCTCTGTCTCAGTCTCAGAACCCCTCTATGGTCTTAGGGAAATCAGGTCAAATTTCTTTTAACCAGCTCCCCTTTAGAAAGAACCCAAACATAATGACCCTTCTTCCCACCTCACCCCTCCTCCACCCCTCTTATGTGCTGTCACTACAAAAGGGACATAGCCTGAGAAGTGCCTGCTACTCATCCCCTAACCCTGGAAATCCCACCTCTGCCACCACAGAAAGTCTGGTGCTGGAGATTTTCCCTTTTCAGAGACTATGGCTGTTTGCACAGTGCCTGCAATGGGGGTGTCCCAGCCTCACTGCAGATCCCAAAGGGCCTGAGGAGGAATCCCTCCTTACCATTTCACAGGGTGTCCCCTCTGTGGGATGATAGCTAAAGGTTCCTGTGTTCACCACTGCCAGCAAGAAGATGATGTTCAGTTTCATGGTTCTGAAGGCAAAAGTAATTATGGTTAGATTTCAAATGGAACACAGAGTCAACACATATGAAAGCTGGCAGATGATCATCTAATAAGGAGAGGGACACAAGCAGTACAATAAATTAACCCACTCTGAGCCTACTGCACTTGTGACCTACCTGTGTTAGCTCTGCATTCCTTTGAGCCTGGTGGCCAAAGGAAGATGCAAGGCTTTTAATAGATTTGTGTGGTTCCAGATGCTGCCGAGCTGATATCCAGGCCACCCAATGAAGTCCAGATTCTCATGCTGGGCAGTGTGTCTGGTGTCATGTAGAAAGAGCTCTCAAATGGAAATGGTTTCTGTTTAGATCCAACCAGTTAAGCTGAGGATATTAGCCACAACAGGACACCATCCTGACAGACATACTTTTGTCATGCAGAAGATGATTTCAGATGGTTTGTGAGTTCTGGCTTGTATTTATTACTTTGTGCTGCCCTCTAGGGCAGAAGGACCTGTCTAATTGCTGGTTTCCTCCCTTCCTTCTGCTAAGTACTGCTGCTGGAAAACCCACGTTTACACAGGTTTTCCCATTGCTTTCTCCCAGAGCCAGAAGCCTGAACAGTTGCAATGCAATTTTCCCATGGTTGAAATAATATGCCAAAGATCTGGGCTCTTAGCAACTCATTTGCTTTGCAATGCACCCTAAAATGAAAGGCATAAATTACAGAACCATAGAATGACAGAATGATGTGTGTTGGAAGGGCCCTTGAAGATCCTCTGGCTCCAGCCCCTCTGCCGTGTTTAGGGACACCTTCCTGCAGACCTGGTTGCTGGTCCAGCCATGAAAATGCCATGCAAAGACAACAGAGGAGGACATGCTTAGGTGCAATGGATATAAAAATCCATGTTAAGCTCTCAAGAGAACAGTCCAACAGTGAGATCACAACCCCAGGCAGGTTCCCCTTGACTGGACCAGTGTCAGACTCGTTTTGACCACCTTCCCTCAAGCATGTTGAGTCTTGAGCTTCCTTTGTCCAGAGCTGGCTGCAGTGCTGATTTTAGCATGCTTTCTGGACTCAAGCTCTCTATCTGCAACCCCCTTGGGGTGAGCAGGGAACTTATGCTGAAGGTGGAGATGCTGTGGTGTCCAGAGGTTTAAATTCCTTTCAGATGCTCTGTGTTTAGAGTTTGCCATGTCAGCAGTGTGCAATAGCACTTGCAATGCACAGACACTTTTGCAAGACAAACCTCAAACGTTTGAGGCCTCCATGAGAAAATAAGATAAATTTTTTAAAATAGGAGATTTTGATTTAATTTAGAAATGGACTACCAATATCATGCCTGTAATGAAGAGCAAGAAGTGACCAGGATGACTGCAGCTTTGCATTCTCTACAATGGATGTTCAGAGCACTTTGGGAAGTTTGGATTTGCAAGGATAAAAATAGCAGAGATTTTGTTGTTTCAGCTTTTTAAAAAGCCAGCTCAGTTCCTCAAGCTGTTTTACCAAGTGACCAAACAGTTGTGCCAGGTGAACTGTGAAGAAGAGCCTGGGCAGAAACAAATGCCAAACCAGGAGGGAAGGGCATGCACTGATTCTGCTGCTCAGGACTTTGCTTCATTAAAATCACAGCCAAGTCAAGTCTGCATACCAAAATAAGGACTCCTACATCTCCTCTAACCCCAGCATGGCTTTTCTCTTGTTTTTTGAAGCTGTTGCATTCCTCATTTCTCACTCTGTCCTCCCTCTACTTGCACCTGTGTCAGGTGTTTAGCCAAAAGAACTTCCCTACCAGAAATTACCATTTTCAGTTAATTGGGTACATGAGGCTTAGCCAGATTCACTATTTTATTCACCTGGGTTTTTTCCTACTACTTGCTACAGGAAAGAAAATAAATAAAACAACAATTGCATGAAATTCACCAGGCTGGAGACTTGCTGAGCGAGGGGCTGGGTGAAGGGACAGTAGGAGATGGGAAAATGAAAACAGTTTTATCAGCAGAAAGTGATTTGCAGATTAAACTATCTGACCCTGAAAATAAACTATCTCCCTGGAAACACAGTTCCCGGGAAAACTCAAGTTCAGGAGCTAAAACAGAGTAATTTCTCATATTGTTTTAGTGCAGCAAAAAGAGAGAAAAAACAAGCTTTAATTCAGCAATTTGTTTTCATTGACAGTGGAATCAGTATCTGGGAAAAGACCTATTCAATTTATGTGATCCAACAGGAGGAAAAATGAGGTGAAGGTAGTTACTTCTAGTAGTTCTGATTGCATGATACTGATATCACCCCCTTGAATCCATCCATCATTATATTAGTAAAAGATAAAGTACTGATACAATCACTGAAACAGAAATATCTGCTTTAAAAAGAGATTACTTGTTTTGAATTTTTTTACTGAAAATTAAAGGATTTTAGCATTTAAAGTAATAAATTGATTTTAAAGTTGAAATGACTGCATCTTAGTAAAAAAAAAACACCACAAACAAATTTCTTCTGTTGTGGAAAACCTAACTTTTGATTCTATTTAAGGAAACATATCTGCATTTTCATCAAAAATACTTTTCTCAAAATACACCAGGGTTTGGCTTGTAAATGTGTATGTGCCTTTTTATATAAATAAGGATTTTTAAAAACTTTATCAGTTCCGAATACTGTCCAAGTATTAATTCCTCTGGTAACAATCCAGATGCAGCAAAACCCTCTCAGTAACTCATTGTTCACCCAAGGTGACATTCAAGCTGTCAGGATCTTAAAGAGTAGCACAGTAATGCTGGTATCTCACACCTCGTGCTCCAACAGGGAGAGCTCAATGACAGTGCTGCTAGTAAGGAGAGCAGAGGAGCCAAACAGCCTTTTGCCCATTTTACCCGGGGCTGTGAGATTTGCCCAAGGCTGTGCTAAGATTCCGTGTGGGGAGCTGGGCAAGTGGCATTTAATCAGTGTACAAGGCTGATCTCTGCAGCACTCCTGCCTCAGAGCACTATAATGCAGCAATTCCACGAACAGACTAAAGTCCTGTAAAGAAAGAAAAAATACCCAGACATGTCCCCATCTTTCACTACTGTAAGCACAGAGAATGATAACAAACCTGGCTTATGACAACTGCATTGTTGTAAACTAATCGGTGCCTCCTTAACATAAGGGAGCTGACTTTGTGCAGTGTAAGTCCCTGATGGGTTAAATATACAGCTGTGTGGAGAGAGCCATCTACACAGTGTGTTTAGCCAGTTCCCCAGCCTATCCATAAACACAGTATATTTTATTTATACAGTACCTTCCATGTCCATGTTACTTCCAAAACGCTGCAGCTCTAAGTCACCAGAGCCCCCATCTCTCCTGCAGTCAAAAGCTCAACTTTCCAGCACGCTCCCAGGTTTGCATGCATCTCCACATACCTGCTCTGTGGCTGGAGGAGGAGGAGGAGCAGGATTCACCTCTGCTTGCAGCCTTCTGTCTCACAGACTCTCCCAGCAGCTTTTCCAGGGCAAGTGGAGGAAGAGTTTACTTAGGGAAGTCGTACCTCTCTTGCATGCCAGCTGACTAAAACTCTGTGAGCTCTGAGAGAAGTTTGAAGTCACAGGGAAAAAAAAATACTCCCCATAGACCAGTCTGTGAATTCATTCCTTTGCAGTCACGATCCCTTATGTATTCCCAGGCTCCCACAAGCGTGTGAATACATACCTCTGTAATTGTTTTAAAATGTGTGTGTCCTCTGTGCTTCTCTTTATTTTCCATTTCGTCCATTCAGTCTTGGCTTATTTCCTGCAGTTTCTCAGCTGGTAATTACGCTCCTCTCGTATTGACACATGAAACACTCAGTAAATTCCACAAAAAAGATCCCCTCTGCAGGCTTTGCAGACACGTGCTTGTCTCTGAAGTCATCCGTGCCTGTCCCACAGCTGTCAGCTTGCACATTCCCAGGGGATGGAGTGAATCAGAGGCACTGAGCTAGTTGCAAACCCAAAACTCCACATCCATGCAGAATGGGATGCACAGGAAAAGGGTATATGGGAGGGAAGCTTCACAGTAGGGACAACATATATGTTTGGTTTCCCAACAGCTCAGTTGTGTCTCTGTGGCACAGCAGTGGGATGACCAAACGCACCCTTGGGAAAGGATAAATTCAATTTAATGCTTGAATGGGAAATAATGTAAATGCCTTCCAGAAAGGGCAGTAGGATGGATTTTTCCTTCTTTTCCTTGGATGTGAAGCTCTCTTTTATTTCAGAAGCAATGCTCTTGTGTAAACCTGTGGGATACCTGCACATTGCTGTGTTCTCTTTTTCTGTTTAGATGTGCCTGGTACCAGGGCAGGGGTACAAAGTCTGCATGATGGTTTTACATCAGCACAAACCTCTGAGGGAGTTTGGCCAGCCCCACAGTGGGTGTCTCAGGACCAAACTGAGGGCTGGGCTCGCCAGCCAAGGCACAACCCTGTCTGGGCCACCCTGCCAGAGAGCTCCCACAAGCACCCTTGACCAAAGCAAGCCTCCCAGGGATCACTGCAAATCTTCTTCCCTGGATGCGTGAAGAGTATCTGAACTGAGTCGATTCCTGCCTGGAGGACAGTTTTGCCTTCAGCATCGTGTGTTTTCCCCTTTGCACTGACATCTGCCATTATGGACAAGGAATTTGGGTGAATAGAAAAAAAAATAGGGGGGTTCTGACTCCCTTCTGCTGGACAGCATCAACTCCTGGATCTATTTATTAAATCAGATAAAACCCATGTCCTTTAACAGCACATGCCAAACAGCTTTGTGGATTCTGCTAAACATGTACTGGCTCCTCTGCCACACGTTAGTGTTCATTCTCTTTGGCACACCAGCTCCTGACAAGGTGACTTCAGATCTGCACCCTACTGGGAGATTCAAGATGAAAATGTCTAGAGATGTGAATGATGTGGTTTGTTAAATGTTGCACGTGTTACTGCAATGAGAATGTAACAAGGAGAATAAATTTAAAAGTAATGTGTCTATTATGAGAAAGAAGTAAACAATAGTGATACATGTTCATAATTATATCATGTATGATAATGAACGCGTATAGCTGTATATGTATATTTTATTTATACAGTACCTTCCTTGTCCGTGTTACTTCCAAAAGGCTGCAGCTCTAAGTCACCAGAGCCCCATCTCTCCTGCAGTCAAAAGCTCAACTTTCCAGCACGCTCCCAGGTTTGCATGCATCTCCACATACCTGCTCTGTGGCTGGAGGAGGAGGAGGAGCAGGATTCACCTCTGCTTGCAGCCTTCTGTCTCACAGACTCTCCCAGCAGCTTTTCCAGGGCAAGTGGAGGAAGAGTTTACTTAGGGAAGTCGTACCTCTCTTGCATGCCAGCTGACTAAAACTCTGTGAGCTCTGAGAGAAGTTTGAAGTCACAGGGAAAAAAAATACTCCCCATAGACCAGTCTGTGAATTCATTCCTTTGCAGTATTATGTATTCCCAGGCTCCCACAGCATGTGGATACATACCTCTGTAACTGTTTTAAATGCGTGTGTCCTGTGAGCTTCTCTTTATTTGCCATATTTTTTAATGGCCAAATGGTTTAACAATTAGTAGGAGAATTATTTCTCATTGACTTATTTTGGCAACAGAAGCATATCTGGAGGAATTTTCTTGTGTGCAGCAGCTCCAAAACCTTATTGAGGACTTCAGAATAGCACTTATATGGAACAGAGGTGGTCCAAAAAATACAGCACAGTGTCAGTGAGTGAGCATGTGGTCTGAAAGCCCCAATGACCCTGTGCTGGGCCTCAAGTAGGAGTCCACTATAGCTGTATCTTGTGGCACCCTGCCTCATGGCTATGGTGGTGCTATTTGGTTTGGCATCAGCTCAACACTGATGGGTTGATGTCTGTCTCTCACCCAAGCTGCACCTCCCCTCATGCTGTCTTATTTTGCTGGGACTGGCAGAGGGTTATCACCACAGAGATATTGTCACCCCTCCTGTAATCGCACCAGGGCAGCCTGATGATCCACTCAATGTCACAGCAGCCAAGCCTGGACAATGGCTGCATTTGTGCTGCTCAGAGATATGGGGCCAATTGCATTATCCAGGGGGTGCATGGCTAGCTAAAGGAAAATGTCCTGTCACAGAAAGGATAGGAAGTCTGCTGACAATGAGTTTCAGACTTAGGTGGAAGCAGAAGAAATTATTCACACAGATGCTGCTGATGCTAGATGTCTATCTCTAGTGTGTGGGCTGCAGAAAACTTGGGTCAACAATGGTTGATACCCAGTGACACCTGAGTGCTGATGCTTCTCCAGTTTTATCTCCCCCAGTAAAGGTATCTCTCCCAGGTAGTGATCCCTGGCTGCATCTATAGAGACCTGTCCCTTCTCTAGAGCAAGTTGACTATTTCCCAGTGTCTAGCACTCAGATACCTGACTCCAGATGGTTCCCCTACAGCCCTGAAATTGTTTCACTGCTGGATTTCTTTGAGAATACCTTGAATATTGTGGGAACAGTGCCCAGATCTGCTGTGGAGTAGTGTGGCAGGACTGTGTGGAGCAGAAGCAACCAAACCTGATGCAGGCCCTGAAGGAAACGCCAGAACTACATCCAGATTGGAGGGAACAAGCTGGTTTTGTGGGAAAGGGTGCCCTTGGGCAAGCTAACCCTCAGTGGTATTGACACAGGGAAACTGGCTTATCTGACAGCATCAATGAACCCAAGCAAACCCCCTGAAAAAACCTGAGGATATGAGGAGGGACACCACATCCTCAAAACTTGTAGGATCTTGCCACAAAAGCTGTTTACAAGCACCAGTCCTGTGAGAATGCCTGCTGGTGTCTGGCATGCACAAATCCTACACGCCTCCATACTGAGGCAGCAGGATGTGGCAACCAGCAAATCCCACTTGGGAAAAAAAAAGCCACAGGTCAGTTTTGGTCACACAAAGTCAGCACAGGGCCCTCTCCTTCCTTTCTAACTGTCACAGAATTCCCACTCTTCCATGGGAGAGGGTAACAGGCTGGGTTGGTGGGGCTGCCATGGAGGAATGCCATAAGTAGGAATGTATGAACAGAAAAAAAAAATCCCAGCTACTGAGATCCTCCAAGACATCTCAGCCAGTATAAGCATCTTTATCTTGAGCTGACGTTAGCCCAGTTGCTTTTTTAGAATTGTACTAAATAAAACCCCAAAATACACATCAAAACAGCCGTGAAGAGAACTGGCTGGTTTTAATAACTTGCAAAAGATTAGAAGTTGACCATGCACTCACCTCACAGTTAAAATAAATCATATCTTGTCAACAAGATGTCCATCTGTAATTATAAATTCTATTTTCCCAGCCTGAACAAAGTTTGATATTTATGCTCCCTTTCCTCTGGGCCTGATTATAG